CTCAGCCCTATCTACAGTCAGGCAGGAATTGCTCTTTGAATAACTCTGCTCGACCTTTATCCCGAGCCATACCAGACACTTCTCAAAGTGAACTTTTTGACTATTACAAATCTAGCTTTGGATTTCTTATGAGTGACAATGCGCCCTTTTTATTAAAAAAAAAATCAATGTTTTTATCTACATAAAAGGAACATGAGATGTACATGTCTTTAGATGTACAAAAACCAAAAACAGTAGATTAAAATAGAAGAAAAAAACACAACCTGTTTTTCTCTAAGAGTTTGAGGTGTAGGAGGGGAAAAAAAAAAAAAGGTAACTTTATAAAAATGCCTCAAATTTCCATTTGAAATTGCTCCAGATTTGTTTCTCATTTCACTTCGCTACAATGATGACCCACATAGCACGTGCTTCTTTATTACAGAAGTACTGGGCGAACTCTAAATTTCATGAGCTGTCATCACCTCAAATAGCACAGAAAAATATCTGTATCTAGCCAAGTGAGATGAACAGAAAACAAATTGCTTTGATATTTTCAATGAGAAATATTAAACTACCTCTTTCTCAAGCATAATTCTGTGTGAAATATCAAAAGAATTTCCCCCTTTTTCCCTTAAACTTGGAATAATGAAAATAAATCCAAAGATTTAAAGCAATCTTGAAATTCCAGTCGTTATTAAACATTGACAATAACAGTATCTTAGTGTTCCACTTCTTATCCCCTATTCATATTCTTACGAACAAAGTTATCACGATCTCCCATTATACAGTAAAAAAATTAGGAACCAGCAAGACAACCAGTGTTCAGATGATCACAATGTGACTAGATTAGAAAAACATTAACTCCAACTCCTCCTTAGAAAATCCCCTATAGGTGTGTACAAGAGCATTGTTTGGTAAGCTTTCCAAAGCCAAGTTCTTAAATGCTGCTAACATAAACAAGATGTATTCAGTAACCAAGGTGATGCAATGAAACAGAAATAGCTTTGTTAGTCTTCAAGTCAAAAGCTACACCAACAACTGTCACGATTACTTTCCTCAGTAAAAAGGAGTGGGATGCTCCTGACATAACCTGCTCAGCTTCGTTCACCAGACTCTACCCACACAAAAGCAACTGATGAGAAGTACAAGGAACCCAGAGATCTCAGAATCACTAATGCCCTCTCACCCCCTAAATCCATCTCCTGCAGTACATCCCATTCATTCACCTCTCTGGGGCTTTTGCAGGACTGCCAGAATCACTAGAAATCCAAAACAGAAACCTGCTTAAATTATTCCTAGGGGGAAAAGTAATATAAGGAACCTGTCCCTCCCCAAAAACATCTTCCAGAATTGTTTATGCATAAGGTTAATATCTTAACATTTACTCAAAGACTCAGAATTACAGAAAAGGCAAACCTTTTTAATAAGAGAGCCAAATTACAATATTCTAGACTTCCATCAAACACTCTAACAACTACTCAACATAAGCACTCAAAGGAATGGTGTGACATGACTGGGTCCCTGATGAAATTTTGTAGTCATAAGACACATGATAAGTGGGTAATTGGTCTAGACCTAAACTTGAAAATTGTTTGCTAGTGTTCAGTCCCTTCAAAACAGTGCAATTCTTGACCAAAAGCACTGAGGTTGCTTCACTTTTTTGGTAGTGAAAATTGAAACTGTCCCAAGAACCTCTGTTAGCTATAACTATCCACTTATAATTGTGAAAAATCAACAGCAAATTTTTTTTAAAAAAGTGATTTTTTTAAATAGCAAGAAATAATAGATTCTCTAGACCAGAAATTTATTAAATTTTTCTCATTTTTACCTTCATGGCAATTCTGTAAGGGAAGAAATATTATGCCCATTTTACAGATGGACCCAATATCATTAAGACATTAAGAAATTAAACCTTTGAATCACGGTCTATTGATAAATTTCAAAAGTCATATTCTCATGTAACATACACTCAAGGCACCAAGGGCATTCCTTAAGAGAAAAAAAAAGATGACAAATCAATATATAAATGGAATGAGATTTAAATTGAAGCAATTTTCAGAAATAGCATGCATACTACTTTTGTTAAATTATAAGCATTTTCCACTACAAGTCTTTCTCTTGGAAGTCTCGTTTTTCCAGCAACAGGTACACCTGTTAAAAAGAGTTTACACCGATAGGAAAGAGTCTTGTATAAAACTTGATGAAGTTTTAAGATGCTGATTTTAGTACTGAAAGAAGCAACAACTTCCTGCCCTTTCATTAAGAAGTTTCTCTGATGATCCCATGTTTCTTCAGGAGGAGAACCAGATTTTCTAGGACTCAGACACAAAACCACCACCAATACCAAGGAATTTTCAGAAGAAATGACAACTCAGGCATTAGAGTAACATTTAAAATCAACAGTTAATTTTCTCATTCATTTCTTCTTCTGTAAGTTTCACATTATGCCTAGCAAGTGGTTTCACTAGTGCTGCCAAATCAGTCCATATATTTAAGGAAAAAAATCTTAGATAGCTAATCTGATTCCAAATAAAAACTAATAAAACCCAAAACAGAACAGAGCAGAACTGAAACAAACTATGTAGCCTAAACACCTCATCTAAGGAGCCAGGAATGGTACTATTAGTCTCTGAAATGAGAATATTTTCTCCATTTGTAAGTGTGGGGGAGGAGAGGTGGGCTGAAAAGAGGTATCTTTCTTGACACATGAAAATTATGCAAAATTCAAATTTCAGGGCTCATAAGTAAACTTCTTACTAGATCTCATTAGTCTATTCCCATTTCCACAACAGTGTTTTGTCCTACAAAGGGAGAGATGAGAGGTTGCAACAGGGACCACATGCCCTGTGAAGGCTAGTGAACATATTCATCTGGATGTTTACAGAAAGGTCCGTCAATGCTTAATGCCACCAAAAGTTCGACTCCGTATGTCCAGACACAATGCACTCCACAATCCCTCCAAATACAAGAGACTCCGTTAAGTTGATCATAGTTACTGAAACAACTAAAGCTCCTTCACAAAAATGGCAACATTCACAGGGCAGTTCTCAAGGAAGAACAGAAAAAGGCCTTGTATTTTTCCACGACCACTTGTCACTGAAGATGCTGATGGGATACAGCTTCCAATATCCTGAATAATAGCATTATTATTCTAAATTGATGAACTGTAAATAGCAGTCCACTTTATGCCTCTTCTAACTAATAAGGAACCACAGAGTACAAAATGATAAATTTTCTTTGAGTTTATTGGCAAGATGCAAGATGCTTTTATACATATATGTGTGTGTGTGTGTGTGTGTGTGTATATATATATGTATATATAAAGTTTTGGCCTTCATCCCTCGATTTCCTTCATTTATCAGAAATACTTACAAAAAGGCACTAATTAGGTAATTCTAATCACAAGGAACTGGGTGTGATGGAAGACTTCAGAATCACTATCTGTTCCTTGCAAAACAAAACAGATAGGCTATTCTCCCTGTAGGGGCAGGAGATTTATCAATAGACAAAAGGATGCAAAAAAGCCAATAGATAAGGTGTAATTAAAGATCAGGCCTATAAATTTTATACTGACATAAATTTAACAGGATTTGCAGAAGAAAATTCAGGATTTAAAACCAGAGCATTATGAAAATAATACCTTCCATTCTATTTGCAACAATATTGCATAATATACAGATTTATTATTAAGACTAATACCCATGTCTCCAAGCCTTTTTATACAAAGGATTTGAATTACTCAGTGCCAAAGTAATTTCTAAAGTGGTCTATCTTCTTCAAGCACTTCTCGTTAATTAGCTACAATATATTTTCCATATTATTGTGAGCATCCAGACCCCTTTTAGAAATAACAATCCATCTATCACATTAGGGGAAGTTTTTGCAAACAGAGTCTAGAAAGGTCTGTATTTTCTTCAAGATCTTTGTGTTTTTTCCTCTTTGAAGGGTAAGAAAATGGAGATAGGAGATAGCACCAGGGTTAAGCTTCACATGTGCCCAACACCAGTGAGATCGCCAGCATCACACAAACTGCAGCATTAGGTATGGCTTTGTAGCCTCCAATTTATGCCAGGGTGGGCCATCCTAGCACCACAAGACCCAAGTAGCACCACCTTCTTTGGTCCTTGCACTGAACAACAGTGGCCCAACTAGCCAAAAACTACCAGGAGTAGCATTTGGGCCCCTGAGCACTACTTGGGAGGCAAATAAATAGAAAACAAGAAAATCGGGGCTAGAGAGAGAGTACAGCAGGTAGGTTGCTTGTCTTGCATGCGGCCAACCCGAATTAGATACATAGCACCACGTATGATTACCCCTAGCACTGCCAGGAGTGATCCCAGAGCACAGAACTAAGAGTAAGTCCTTAATACAGTCCGTGTGGCCCAACCACCCCCACCATACACACACACAAGACATGAAAATTATTTCCAATAAAATATGCCATATATTTATGACACTGTCCTTTCTCTTCACTGTCTGAAAAACGAACAATAGAAATGAAAAATGAAAAGGTGTACAGAGAGCCAAAGATTAAAGGGTTGAACTATAGTCAACTAACAAGATTTGATCTGAAAATAATTTTGCATTTCTCTAACAGCATATAATAGATCATTTTGATATTGTGAAGTATTATAATATTTAGTAGACAATTGGCAGCTTGAGATTTGTTTTGTATTTTCTGCTTTCACAAATTACTGCAACCTGAAAAGCCCAAAATGAAAAAGGTGGTGTCTTTGGAAAATTACTAGTTTGGCACAATAACTCATTAACAAGGAAAGTTCTGAAATAAATGCAAATTGAGGGGAAAAACCAGGCTGAGAAAACAGGTGGGAGAAATAAATTAAGGTACTTAACAACCTTGAGGAAAAAACAGACTCAAATATCTCAACTTTCAGTGAAGTACAAAGGATGTGAACAAACATCACATCCTTTGTCAGGGGTGAGAGTGAGTCTAAGTGTGGTTTACAGTGAGTTTAATGGGTTGTTAACTGGCCTTGTGTGATCCTGAAGAGTCAACTCACCCGAGTAAGCCCAGTATGGGTCACCTGAGGCCTTACGCCTTCGAACCTGAGCCGAGCTCCCGTGTCTGTTCTCGTGCAAGGTGTCCGCGTAGCCTTCTGTCAGCGCTGCAAGAGAGGAGAGTTCCAGTGAGACAAGCATCACCCTGGGGTTGAAAACAGGGAGTGATCTAAGATTTCCTGGAAGTATAGGTTATGGGGCTATCAGAGGGGAGACTGACAGCACAGTAGGTAGGGCGTTTGCCTTGCATGCATCCAACCCGGGTTTGATTCCTCTGTCCCTCTCGGAGAGCCCAGCAAGCTACCGAGGGTATCCCGCCCACATGGCAGAGCCTAGCAAGCTCCCTGTGGCATATTCGATATGCCAAACACAATAACAACAAATCTCACAATGGAGACATTACTGGTGCCTGCTGGAGCAAATTGATGAACAACGGGAGGACAGTGCTAGAGTACTACAGGCTATAGGGCTATCAGAAGGAAGACTAACACGATTACTATTCACACTCGTTCACAAGTGTCCTCTATACCCGCAAACAGTGCAAAGCACTGATCATACCTCAAATGCATTCGCCAGCTACCAGCTCGCAATAGGAACAGTAGTTTTAATGGAGAGACTATTTTATTTTCTAGGAAACAAACTAAAGCTTTGAATAAGTGACTTTAGGATGCCCCAGGTCCCACAATGCATAAACGTGGAAGCTGCAGTTGAGGTACTAACTACAGACAGGTTTAAGCCTATTAGGGCAAAAGGTCTCAGAGACTCATGGAGGTTTGCTGAAGAGCAAGAGCGTCCCTGGAGTTTGAGAGAGCAAGAGGTGATCCACCCTCTTTTAGACACTGAAGAATTAACCCTTGGAGACACTAAAGAACTTTGTACTCATCACGCAGCTAAGCCTGCAGCAAATCAGAAAAGCAACACAAGCACGCCAACATTTAACGAGTAATAAAGACAACATCCACAGTCCTTGGAACTCCCCTTAGACACCTAAGTTCCCTGTTATACCTGGGACACCCATGCCCCAGTGCTCCATGTGAACAATACTCATGAAAGAAACCATGATGCAGTTTCTGAAATTCCAAAATGAGTCTAATCCTCTGTCCTATTCTAGAGCAGATCCCTCTACCTGTCAGGGTTCCAGGTAGGGCCTACCCTTCAAACTACTCCGTAAAAGAGAATTTCTTTTGTCATAAACCCACATCAGAAAGTACTCACGTGTAAGAAGACAACTATTACAGGTGCCCAGAATCCAAAATGAACTGGATTACACTTCCAACAATACATCCCACCTGCCTGTTTTAATATTAAAACGAAGGCACCCAAACAAAAATCAAGTGTTTTTACAAAGCCAAGAAAATGGTGAATTGCAATGTATATTCGATTTAAAAAGGGAATGCTCTGCCACAGTGGTAGGGTGGGATAGGGGGAAAGGGGGTGGGAGGGATACTGGAACTGGTGATGGTGGAGACTGGGCACTGGTGGAGGAATGGGTATTCGATCGTTGTATAAAAATTTGTAAGTCTACAACTGTACCTCATGGTGTTTCACTAATAAAAATTTAAGGAAAAAAAAAGATTAAGAAGGCGCCAGGCAAACATAAAACCTTCTCTATTTCAATTTAGTCAAAGTAAGAATAATCATCTCACCATGATGGGTAGGTACTTCACTGATAATGTGACAGTTATGGAGAAAAATAAGGAAACATATAAGTATTTTATGCTCACGTGTCAATTGCAAAGACAGACTTCTCGAGAACAAAGAACAAAAATATTCCATAGAGAGAAGTCCTTTAGAGGGATAAAGCAATACTCTGAAATCCAAATACACTTATAAAACATAAAGCTGGTATCATTTATGACTGCTCGTCGATTCTGAACATCTAAGTCCAAATTCTGAATACCTAAGTCAAACTTTCCTAATCATTTTTACAGCATAAAGTCAAGTTAAGTGCCTTCCATCCACGTATCCTACAATTTCGTACACGAGCCATTCAGAGCCATGGATGTGAACATTCTAAGTTCTTCCTGGTCAGAAACAAAATTCTGGGCTGGAACAAACTTGCCTTGCACACAGTGGACGCGGGATTCATCCTCAACACTCCATATGGTTTCCAAGGCTTCCAAGGAGTGATCCCTGAGCTCAGAGCCAGGAGGACCTCACAGAACACAGCTGAGTGTACCACCCCCTCCAAAAAAACAAACATCAAAAATCCCCACTTCGGGCAGCAGGGACCTCATGGGAAGGGGGGCGTTCCAGTCCATCCTTCACGCCCGACCGAGGTCACCAGTTGCCCCCCACGAGCGGCTCTCCAGCACGGCCACGACTCCAGAGCGCAGAAACCAATCTCTTAACTATCTAACTTTTAATAGAAATACTTCCAGGGTTAATAAGTAAAATAGCAGAAATCCAAAACCGTGCGGCCGCGACATCATTTAATTCTTAAAACCCAGCTGTAGAAAGCAAACCATTTCACAACGCTTTTTCAGCATGTCTGATTTGGGGGGGGGGGGGGGGGAGGGGGGTCGTAAACTCTAAATAATAATGGTGCATCTTTTATTGAAACAATGAATCTAGTCAAAGTAGATAGAGTGAGATAGAGTGTTAACTAGAATTCATCTGCCTCACAGGCATTGGGAGGGGTGGGAGGTGGGGTTATATTGGGGTTCTTCATGATAAAAAATAAGTATTGGTAAAGGGAAATGTGTTTGATATTTACATGACTGAGACCTAAACCCGAAAGCTCTGTAACTTTTCCCACGGTGATTCAATAAATAAATAAATTATTTTTTTAAAAATCCCCACTTCCTAGGCTGGAGTGAAAGTACAGTGGTTAGGGTATTTGCTTTGCATGTGCCAACCCGGATTCGATTCCCAGCATCCCATGTGGTCCCCCAAGCACTACCAGGGGAAATTTCTGAGTGCAAAGCCAAGAATTACCCCCTGTGCCTTGCTGAGTGTGACCCTAAAGTCACTGTAGCACTGTCCTCCCATTGTTCATCAATTTGCTCAAGCAGGCCTAGTAACATCTCCATTGTGAGACCTGTTGTTACTGTGTTTGGCATATCAGATGTGTCATGGGTAGCTTGCAGGCTTTGCCGTGCAGGCAAGATACTCTCGGTATTGCCAGGCTCTCCGAGAGAGGTAGAGGAATCGAACCCAGGTCAGCCGGGTTGGCCACGTGCAAGGCAAATGCCCTACTGCTGTGCTATCGCTCCAATGCAAAAAGAAAAAAAAAAAAAACAGCAAAAAAAGGGAAAAAAAAACCCGCTTCCTAATAGACATTTTTTCGGCCGTGTGCAAGGCGAACAGCCTACTGCTGTGCTATTGCTCCAACCCAAAAAGAAAAACAACAACAACAACAACAAAAACCCCGCTTCCTAATAGAGATTTTTCCCCCACTAAATAATACCAGTTCACACTAGATCCATGATCCCCAAATAATCCTCCTTAATCAGTCAAGAAGTAAAAGGGTATCTCGGCCACAGAAATAAGACATGACAGTACAATGCCCTAATAATGAAATGATGAGTACGTGATTAAGCTTAACCTTGTCTTTTTCAGGTATAAGCCTGGTTTCTAGTAAATACATGGTGGAAGTGGGACCTTTTGCATAGAAGATACAACAGGCAACGGAGGCTAGAGACATCAGCAAAAAAATAATGGGAAAACCCTTGTCCCTTGTGCTCAGGCGACCAAGTTTCCAGGGCCCAGTTGAAGCCCTGACTTAGATACTCCACATCAGAAGAGAAAGACGCTTCCTGAGAAAGTGCGACAGTCTAACGGCGCTGCTGGCCACATCCCAGCAGTTAACTGCAGGCCCAAGGCGGGCCAGGGAAGCAGTGATGTAACACGGACAGGTGGGGTGTTGACAACAAAGCTGAACAGCCATCAGCAGTGACAGCCCCCTCACAGTGAGGCTGTGGAGAGGGAGCAGCCAACAGTAATGCTGTCCACCTCTCCACCCGCCAAGGTCCAAGATTTGACACTCACTCCCTCTGTTGGAAGCTCTCAGAAGCAGATATGCGCCCGCACCTGCATAAGAATGCAAGCATCTGGCTGAGGAGACTGCCTGTGGCCTGTGGGCCTCAACTGGCAGCACCTGTCGTGGACAGAGACTGCTGGGTTGAGAGGATGGCCCACCAACAGAGCCCCCTCCAGGCCCGATAGCTGGTCTTTCCTGTCCTTGACTCTTGCGTGCGTCCTCTATCTTCACGTCCAGATTCTGATTCCAGGCGATGACTGAGAAAGAATACCTTCAATCGCTGGGCAGCTTGGTCCAACTCAAACTCTGCCGTTGACCATCAGTCACCTGCTTCTCCACCAACTCCAACTCTTCTTTCTGGCAAAGCACTTGGTCAAATCTCACTGGCTGGATACTCAACACCTCCCAATCCCCAGGGCCAGGCTTTGGACAGAAGCCAAAGGCCTCCCACTGTGCTTGCTTGGCCTCGACATTGCCTGCGGGCCTAGGCATCAGTGTCCACCAGAAGCACCTACAAACCAGATGTCTTCTTCCATGGGTGTGGCTGGAGCCAGGACAGCAGGTGCTCCCTTAGCATTCTGCTTCTCCTATGACTGTTGTCCCCTCCTCTCCATCTAAAGTGACCATGTGTCCTTCTGGTTCCTTTCTCACCATGATCTGCATTGCTGGCCATGATTGTTAGCAGGTTTGCCTCCTCATGTTTGTGGTAACAAATGAGGCCTCCGGAACAGTTTTACCCATAGAAACACATTAGCTATGGGAAGCCAGGGCCTGTGGGCCCCAGGTCATCTCCCACAAGCCCAGGGCTGCAAAAGGTGCTCAAAAGCCCAGAACATATTTCCCGCATCTGGCACAACGGAACCTGATGAAACCAAAACCACAAGTCCCAGAGAAGCCCATCAACTCAGACAGATTTTAAAAAGGAACCCCAAATTATCAACAAAACAGAGAAAAAGCCAAGAGAAAGGAAATGGGGCCACAAAAAAAATAGAATCTCACTTCCCTTGCCTATAAAATGGAGCTTAAAATACCGATTTCATAGGATTGCTATGAATAGCATGCAAGCTTCTACACAAAAGGTACCTCATATAGCACTGGGCAGAGTGTATATCAAATACCTGATAA